GGCTGGCTACAGGTACCCCAATGCTGCCCAAGCAAGTGTACCCAATGCCTCTTCAGACATTCCTCCCCACAAAAATCTCCTGGACTCAAACCCATATCCATCTCAAATATATCACGGACCTCTGAACTGGTTGGTTTAGCCTCACAAAACATGAGGCACTGACACTCCTAGGTTAAGACCTGCCTTTGGCTAAACAGTCTTGTTCAACCTTCCAGAACAGAAAGAGTTAAGTCTTTGCAGAGGCATCATGTCAACTTTTTAAAAAGTCCTTATCACCTTTTCCACGTGGTTGTCACCAGAACAAATGATTCTCTCCACTGAGATCTAGACATTTCCCTGCAGTATTAGACTGGATCAGCAATTTGCCACATCTCCTAGTAGGGACCAACAAGCAGAAAACACTGATGAAGCATCACCTGACCAAACCTAGTCATATCTTATTTATATTTTCTTAGTTCTCATTTATATTTAAAACATTTCACAAAGATTCTCTTAATATATACAAAATTCAATAGTGTAGAGAAAGTTGCTCATGAATCCTAGGTAATCAGTCATGCTAGATAAGACTGTCCTGAACTCGTGGTCATTATTTTTATGCCACTCAATTTGTGAAATAAAATCACTCTTCACCCAGTTGAAGCTCATATGAGAACCCTTTCTCATGTTCCCTTCCCAACAGTGAGAGCAGGGGCCAGTTCTACTGCTCGGCCTGCAGCCATCCCAGTGCTCACACAGCACTTACAGAGTCTGGATCTAATTACTGGATTTGCTTCAACAACCCAGAGCTGGGGTTTAGGGTTGGGGTGGTTTTTTTTTTCTTTCATGTTAATTTTCTCTCCTCTTTCACTCCAGGTCAGAGCCTGAGAAGAATAACATGAAGATCAGCAATACTGAAATACCCATTTTAGTCCAACATTAGGGAAACATCCTAACATGGCCTTTTTCATTTATTTAATCACATTAACATGAATAAATGTTTTTTGTCTGTCTCCTATTAATGGGAAAGGTGGCCCAAAAGTTGCACAGCTTTGTGACGTGGCTGTCTGAAATGCAAACAGTGGAAAAATCCCTGTATTTTAACCCCAGTGTTTGACACTCTGCACTTCAGAAGAGTGCTGAATGGTTCCCGATAGGTTTATTTTGGCTTTAAAAGGGATTTGGTTTCTAGAACCTGTGCTGAGCTATCTGAAATCTTTAAGTACTGAATGTGCAGCAGGTTTCACTGAAGTCAACTGTGATTCTTCAAGAAAGAGCTGCTGACCTGTGCTGGCCCCCCAATTCCTAAGTTTTGTTTGCCTTCACATCACAGGCTTAACTTTCTGTGTGTTCACCTACCTTTAGTTAGCTGCAGAGACCAGATGGGAATTCTGAGCACACAGTTACACTTGGGAGAGATTCTGCTTCTATCCTGTTGTTCACTGTCAGACATGATCATCTTCAAATGCTCATCTGCACATCCTTCTTCATACTGAAGGACTGAGCCCCTTTCAGATGTCCTTTTCCCTCCTTTTGTTCCTACTTATGTAGTAGTGGCTAAAAGAAACATCTAAGTCCCCTTGTGAGACACCAAATTTGTACATCCAAGCACAGTTCTACTTCCCTGTGCTTCACCCTTTTTCCTGCATGTGATACCCTGAGAGATGAGGAATTTTCCTTGGTACATGCTCAGGTGATTTTTTTCTCTCAACACTTTGCAGTTGCTGAAAATCCCATGATTTGGGATGAAATATTAGCTTTCACCAGCATGGAAGCCAGTTTTGGGCTCTCCCATCCATACTGTTAAGCGAGACACATATTTTAACAATACATTTTAAGCTGGCTCTGTATTTGCAAGTGCTCTCCTGCTCAGGTTTGTAAATCCAGGAAATTTCACCTAAGAAAAGGCAAGTTGAGGTACCAAAGGCTATCAAAATTCTGGTATAGAGTCATAGAGTGGTTTGGGTTGGAAGAAGCCTAGTTTATCATCTAGTTCCAAACCCCCTGCCATAGGCAGGGACACCTCCCACAAGACCATGTTGCTCAAAGCCCCATCCAACCTCATATTAAATGCCTCCAGTGATGCAGCATCCACAATTTCCCTGGGCAAACTGTCCCAGTGTCTCACCACCCTCATAGTGAAGGACGCTTCCTTACATCCAATCTACATCCACCCTCTTCCAGTTTGGCGCCACTACCCCTCATCCTATCACTACAAGCCCTTGTAAAAAGTCCCTCCCCAGCTTTCTTGTAGGCCCCCTTCAGATACTGGAAGGCCCCAGTAAGGTCTTCCCAGAGGCTTCTCTTCTCCAGGCTGAACAACCCAACCCTGTCCTCTTAGGATAGATGTTCCAGCCCTCAGGTTAAATCTTGTGCACAATGCAAGCAGGGCCCAGTGCCCGTTATCCTGTGCATGTGCTATTTTGTCACATTGACCAAACTCCTCTCCAGTTTTTGTGGGAAACACCTTGTGGGATTGTCACATGGCAACACACATTGTTGGCAGAGGACAGACCTCTTCCATTTCAGGCATATGCTCATCTCCCTCAGCAGTCATCCTGAAGTACTGTACTGGTGTTTTCCACTGCCCCACCAGACATGACTATTTGTTCATCATCTCTTTTGAGTCAGATTTGACCTATTAACCAAGGCTGAAAGCCAGCTCTGGATGATGCCAAGAGAGATACTCAGCTGTGGACATTGCTTAAGACCTACTCACAGATGAGAAACCACCACAAGAAGCAATGCCAAATTTGATTCAAGATTCTCCAGCACCAATGATCTTGCCACTCACTCTGCTGATTTCTGCACTTATGCTTTTCAATTTTCTGCAGACACAGGCAAGTCCTACATCAATCCCCTTGGGAGTGTGTTCTGGACACCGAGGCAAGCCACTATTGCCTGTACAGACTGGTCACAAGTGATACAAATCAGAGAACCTAATAGGATGTTCAGTGAGGAAGCCTGCCAGCACCTGTGGAAAGGACAACTACTTTCCACCACTTCAAAGACTTTTTTTTTTTCCCCAAGGATTCTTTCCAAATCCCAGTGACAGCAAGCAGAAACAAAGGTACAGGAATTTCACCTCTTCCGACTTAGATCAAAAGGAGATACTCATCATCATCATCATGAGTTGACTCTCCATCCCACATAACTCTTCTATACCACCATCTACACCCTTGTCATCAGTCTGAGTTCATGTGCACCTGTGGCCATGGTTCTTCTCCCAGGCCTCCCAGAGCATCAAACAGCAGCTCATGACATTGTTTCCATGACATGTACCTACCTGGCATTAAGGTAAACAGAGCACATCACACAGAGACATAGTCAGCCTTCCCCTTCTCATGCCCTGCTTTTGGTATCTCCCTCCTCAGGCATCTCTGCTGCACTGCTCAAGGTGCACTGTGCTGTCGTGAGCAACCCCTCCATTTTCAACACTTTTCTTCCTTTGTTCTCCCAGCAGACCAGCCCATTTCAGCAGCAGCTGACACAGATGCAAGATGTCAACTGAGGTTACCCACACCATTCATCACCCTAGTGCCTCCTCTCCCTCCCACTGCAGTAATCCCTCTTATGAGGGTCTTCTTTGGGAGACGTGAAGGAATAGAGTAGAGTAAGATGGAATAGGGTAGAGTCAGAGACATGTTTGAGTGTAGCTATTTGATTAAAACTGTCATCCACATCTAGACAAATATAAAATTAGAGACACCCAGAAACAACTTGCAGAGCTGTATGAAGGTTGGTATTTCCATAAAGAATCTGAGACCCAGCTCCTGGAACCTGAAGCATGAAATGCTGCTGTAAATGACCCAGACTATGAAGAAGCAAGTGTCCTCTGACAGAGTTATTTACTAACAGCAGTTATTCTAAGAGGTGTGGTTATTACATGTGAGGTGCTACCAAAAGACTGAGCAACTGAACTGTTTGCCTTCTGCATAATTGCCAGTAATAGAATACCTAAGTCAAAGACAGTAGTCAGTAACAGCTAAGTTGCAATTAAAAATCCATGTGAAGCTCCAGTTAGAAGTTGTCCAGCTTTGAGTACCCAAGTCAGACCTGCAAGTCCAACAGTCAGCAATGTAGCCAGAAGCAACACCCACCACATCCACTAAACCTGTGATTACTGGTAAAAAAGACAGCATGTACCACAAACCAGTAACTTACCAATAGCAGCAGGGACTTGCTGACATTATCCTGCCCTACTGAGAAGTAATTCCTTCTGATACAGGACGAGTACAACATTGCAACAATTCAGTGCAGTTTCTAAAATCTGAGCTTCTCGAGCTCATCTGCCAACTCTGTGGGCTAGCACCATCCTGGGTGGCAGCCTTCTCAGTTGCTCCCACAGACTTCATTCTCTGGAAAGAAAGTCCTTTGAGAATTGTCACACAGGGTGAGGCAGACAGGGCTTTACTAGACAAATATCAGGACAAAACTCCATGAACAATGCTGTCTCACAGAGTGTATGTAAATATACCTTTAATAGAGTGCAGCCATGTTTTTCCCTGCCCCACCAAAAAGCCAGCAGCTGTAAACCAAGTTTCACACTTTGGTGGAAGTCACAGAGCTGCAGAGGCTCTAAGCACTGACACAAACCACCAGCAGGTGTCAAAACAGTGTAAAGTCTAGCCAGCTTCCTGCCCTGGACAGGGCACAGGTCTCACCAGCAGTCCAGGTGCTGCATTCACTCCATTGAGTCAACACTGCCAAAAGGAGCTGATCTCTTCCACAGGAGAAACCAGCTCCATCTCTAACAGGCACTCTGCTGGAGGAAAAGCAGGTACCTTTGACAGCCACCTCAAATAGTTCAAATGCCTGTATTTGCAGCAGACTACACAGAGTTCATCTGGGAGACAAGCACTCTGAGTTGGGACTACGTGCTGGGTTATACCACATGGGGAGGGGACAGACTTTGTCCCAGTCACGGGACATCGTCACGGATGCTCAGTCACAAGAACACTTCCGTGGTCAGCACTGAGGTTACATAACCCCATCCAGGTGCTCCAGGTCTTGGGAAGCAAATGCTAAAGCACTGCCAGAATCATCTTCTCCTTCTTTTTCCTCTTCCTCTTCTTCTCCTCAAAACGTTCAGTAGCATCAGCAAAAAATGTCACCTCATCCTTGGCCTCCATCTCCCTCTTCAGGTACTGGAGCCCTGCCATGTTGAATCCCAGCACATCCTGTAGAGACAGACCAGCACCACACTGTTGGGGACATCTCAAGCTTGTTAGGGAGCAGAGGGTCCTGCACTGGCTGCCCCTCTACCCAAGAAACAGTGAAAGCAAGACAATCCACAGATTTAAATAAAGCAACATTATTTAAATGTAGTCCTGCCTGCACTGTTCCCTCCCCAGTTCTCTCCTAAGAGTAGCTACAATCCACCGTATTTTCTGACAGACAAGTTGTTGGCAGGCACTCAGTGTTGCCTCTGGGAAGATGCACAGTCTTACTGGAGAGATTAGTAGCCCACAGAAAAGCCCAAGAGAAATGGTTGATTTACTTCCTATGTATTCAGGAGCTAGTGAGCCAGAGCCCAAAAACATGTATCAAAGAAAAACAAAAGTAAATGGGGGAGGGAGCACGAGCACAGACTCATGGCTGGGTAGTCTCACACCAGCAAGAGCACAAGGAAAAGGCAGCCTGCATCCACAGGAGGAATTTTTAAATGGGCTCGGACCCCCCCACAGCTTTCCCACTGGACACCACAGACAACACATGCTCCCAGACAAGGTGGGCACCTTGCTATTTCAGACCATGGAAAAGGGGAGGGCACAGCACTCACCCGGGCCTCGCTGACTCTGGAGATGGTGGTTTTCTTCAGATTTTCTATCACTGTCACCAGCATATGGTTGCTTGTGATCTGCCCAAAATGTATCCTGGGAACAAAGCAGGCAGTGGTGTATCACAGCACTGTTCTTAGAAACATCAGACAGCTCCTCTCCTGAGTCTCTCTATATTCTGGACATAGGATTTTTCTTAAATTAGGCTTCCCCAGATGAGCCTTATATAATAGGCATGCAGAGAATTATCTGGAAAAGCTGTTTTCTGAAGCTTCTCTTTAACACACAGTGGTTCAAGGGGAAGGTTCCCCTGAGGCAGTCTCTGAGGTTGCTGGCTCCCCAGTGACTCTGTGCCAGTTAACAGTGCCATTGCAGCCTTCATGCAGGTTCCTTCATACCAGTGAGACTTGGGGGGCCAGGACCAGCAACCACATCTGGGCATCTCAATACTCTGCTTCCAATCAGTCCAGTCCCCCACACCATGCGCTGCGAGCTGCAGTGACTCCTTCACATCCTGCAGAGGGCACATCTCTATTCCCAAGGACACTTCCCAAAAGCTTCAGACACAGAGGCATATGAGAAAGCCCAAATTCTCCCCACACTCTTATGCTACATGTGTTCATGGCAAGCAACACCATTTCCCAGCTCTTTGCTGCCCCAAAGCCCTGATGCACAGCACAGGAGCACGGGGTACCCCTTTGCTCACCCAGCTAGCACAAGGGGCCCAGAGGAACTGGCAGGCTCACTCCTGACCAGACCCCTGTTAGGACTTCCTCAGGTCCAGGTTCTGGACAGCAACAGCAACCAAAGTATCAGACCTGTCTGTGGAGATGAAAGACTCACTTGAGCAGGAAGAGGAGAGCTCGGCACAGGAGTTCAACTTCTGAACCCAGGTTAATATATTCATTGAAGAGTCTGAGCAGGTCAGGGACATAGGAGAAGGGCAGCACCAAAAGAGACTCTTCCAGCTCACTGAGGAGAGAGCAAAGGGACAGAAGCATTAGGTCTTAGCCACTGCACTGATACAGATGAGCAAGAAACACTTCTATTTAGGTACGTTCTGGTACAAAAGCTGTGCTAAGCATTCATCACTGCTGGTCTGTGACTGCCCACAGAGCACAGACTACAGCCTGGGCCAGCAGACACCCTCTGGCACGGGGAGCAGAAGCACAATCTTCCCTCCTCAGCATCCCCAAGCTGCTCTTCACCTACATGTGCATCTCCAAGCAGCCAACCCACATACACAAGCTTCACCCACACTCCCCGTGAAAGGAACAATATCCATTCCCCAATTCCATGCACACTCCAAAAGAAGCTTCCAGGGACACTAACTCCAGACTCTTGAGGACTGTCCAGACCCAGCACAAGAGACAACACTCCAGGATCTCAGCCAGTCCTGGGCCCAGAAATTCAGTCACAAACCCATACAGCAATAAGGCTCCTGGGGACTCACCTCGATTTGACCTTCTTGAAAACTTCCAGCACATATGCAGAAGGCTGTAACAGAGAAAAGACACCAGCTCTGTCTATCAGGAAACATTCCAGGACTAACACGTGCCTTTAAGGTCTATTTCAACCAGTTAAAAGCACACTAACATCCTGCAAGACAGACAGATCAAGCTGAATACTATTACACTAAAGAGGGAAAACCCTTTCAGCTTCAATCAGCTGCCAGTCTGAGAATCACAGACCCAGCCTTCTCAGGATACTCTAAACAGGTAGAGAATGTTGTGAAAAATCTAATTTGTATTCAACCAGCTGAATCAACTCATATTCACTTCAATGCATCTTGTACAAACTGGATAAAAAGCTAGATGAAACGGACTAATTACACATATTAAACCTTACACAAACTCATCTCCCAAAGACTTAATTGCTACTCTTCTTGTGTCTGCTTAAAGTGTCTGACAGATGTAGAGCATGGGAATTGCTAAAGAAAAGTGCCTAACAATTAAGTCATAGGATTTAATTAACTTCAGTCTATTCAACTTTAATTATAAGTTAATATGCCTCACAGAGGACAGGACAGAAAGGCTCTTGAAAAGTAATTACAAGTGATTAGAAGGAAGACAAAATGCTGTTTTGGCCTCTTCAGAAAAGGACAGAATAGAAGAACAAGGATCTTCCCAAGGGTAAATAAAAATGCAGTCTAGGGTTTACACTGGAATAAACTGTAAAAACCAGAACCATTCTACTCGGAGTAGTGAATTTTTTATTTATCAATTAATTCCATGCATCTGTGTATGTGTTCTGTATAGCCAAAAAATTCAGAGAGTTTAGTGAAAACTGTTGTGTATTAGTATGACACAAGTGAGTAAAGGCAAGAGCTCTAACCTGGACATTTAACTACAGGACAGAATTTTCTCCATGTAAATTCTTCAGGAATAGAAACAGAATCAGTTACTATTCCAATGTCATAGAAATAAATCGGGGCAGCTACAAGGCAGCCCTGCCTCACCCCAAGCTGCCCTGCTGTGGTTACAGCTGCACAGGCAGAGATTTAGGGTCAGGAAGCCTCTGTGTGCTTCCAGCTCCTGCTTCTTGAGTCAAGGCAATGACAGTGGGCATGCTGGGACAAGTGTTCCACAAGCAGAGTCTCTCCCAAGACAGAAGACAAGTGACTGTCCATGCCTGAAGCATTTTTTGTTCATCACCTGACACACTAAATGCCCATCACGGTCCGTTCACCACATAACAGGACAAGTCACAACTCGTGGCTGTTTTTACTCAGTGGCCTAGCACATGGACTAGCACATTCTTCCAAGGACTTGGAAAACAGCTTCAAATTCCCTTCTCTGTACAGGAGGACCCAATCAAACATCACCCTCCTCCAAAGAAATTGCTAGTTACTGAGCCATAAGATTTTGTTGACCCCCGTTTCATCTATTCAACTTGCAATTAAATGCCTGGATTCAGAGTGGAAGGGAGAGACTGGCTCTGGGTGAGTGATGACATCACACAGTGACATGGGTTCTCAGCTGCACACTTCAGTGGATGCTCAGGCATTTTGTGCATTTGACCTCATTTTCCCATACCTTGAAGAACACTGTAAGCCACTGGCCTGTGATAAGGTACACAATATGGTCACAGCTATCATCACATTATGTTTAGCCCTGATGGGGTTAAACTTTTGTAACATGCATGCAAGATATACGAAAAAAACAACACAAAAACCCAGACTGTGTTCACTTTGCACAAGCAAAAGTGCTATGTCTTAATTTTAGATTGAACCAAGCATGGCTTCCCCACAGCAGCCCAGTGTTTCGGCTCAGCCAGCAAAACCACCAGCCTCACTCCAGCTGAGAATGTCCCACAGCCTGTGGCCTGGGCCTTCCACTTACTGTGATATCTCCATAGGCACGGAGGATGGGATTGACAGGAAAGGGAACCTGGAGAAACAGAATGGGTTAGAACGAGTCAGGGGTGTGTGTGTTTGTGTATACAAATGCATATTCACAGAAAAAAACTTAACCCTCAGTAGAAGACAGCTTTTATCAAGTGTCTTCCTGCAATTCCCACACTCCCACCCTCCCCAGAACATCACATAAGGCCTCATTTGCAGCCACTAGACACTCTTGGACATATATGACTAACTTCATCATGTATGAATTTTCTTCCACTTCTTAACTGTAATTTTTCCAACATATCACAGCCCTGATGTAGCAGGGAGTGTTGAGATGAAGGTAAATACTAGGCTTTGGGATGAATTTGCAGCATGCTCCCCCACGGACAAAACTCACATCCTACTCTGACTTTAACCATCAAGATCGTTGGAAAGAACATGCCACCAACCCTGCCCCAGAGCACAGTGCCATTTTGTTCTCCAAAAGATTTCAGAAGAACAGCAGGTCCTGATTTTGTCTGCATGCTGAGCCTTTTCCCTTGAGCTGGAAGGATACAACCCACACCCTGGGATTGGTACATTCCTCAGTCTTTTACCTCTTTTCCTGCAGCCTTGCATATGGCCTCATGTTCCTTTAGTTTTGCTGTCTCTTCTCTGAACAGCTCAATAGCTTCCATGATCCGCTCAGCCTGCGTGGCACAAGAGCGGAACATCAGTGACACGAGGCAAGCCAAATCAAAGCTCAAATCCAACAGGAAAAGTGGAGGTGGAAGCAGAGGGGCTGACACGGAGGACCACAGGACATCTCGCTCAGAAAGACCACTTCTGCTCCAGACTGCTTCACTACCCTGACCACATCAGCCATGTCCTGAAGAAGTTAAACACCACCCACAGTCACCCCCCACCGTTGCAGGTGTTCTCTGTGGCAGCTTCAATTGTTGCCTTGACGCTGAAGCTCATCCCCAGCAAGCAGTACCCCTTTGAGGCACAAGGCAGGATTGGGCCATTTTGACTATTCAGATTAAGGATTTCTTCTGCATTTACAAGAGCACATGACTGGGCAGCCCTCTGGGGAGAGGCCTGGTGCCTAGAGAACGTCCCAGCTTTTGCCAGAGAACAAACCCCAAAGGGTAAGAGCAGCCCTGTCTGCCCCACACGTAACAGGCAGAGAAAGCTGCAGCTACAGGAACCTCACACCTTGTTCCAGTTCTCCGGAGCAATCTCAGGAGAAGATAATCCCTGGTGCAGTCAGACCTCTCCCTGTTGTCCAGAGACCAGTGGCAATCTGCCCTATGTGGGCAGCAGAGGTTACTCCTCTTCAAACTGCTGCTCCAGCCTCGTGCCAGCCCCGCTCCCTGGGGGCTGAGAGGGCCCAGAGCCAGGCTGGCAGACCCTCCCAGTCTTACCGCCTTGATGGTTTCAATCGTCTTCTTCCCTGGCAGCCCCGTCTCTCCTTGCGTCTCTCCAGCCACCTACAAAACACAGAGTTTGCAGCTCCCTCCTTCCACAGCAGAGCAGTGGACACACACAGGCACCCCCTGCATCCTACCACAGTCCATACTAAGGAAAACATCGGTCCTGGTCCCTGAACTGGTTACTTCTCTGAGGAGATACGGCACTTCCCAATTTTTTCCTCACAGCTCTTCCTCAGGAACAGAGGCACTGTGCTAACACTGAGCTCTGGGAGGCAGGTAAACGTGGCTCCTGTTCTGCCAACACAGGCAGGGAGACCTGATCAGCATCAAAACGGTCAACAACACAATCCAAGCACCTGAGCAAGAGGGATCAGACCTGCCCAGCTGGTCTGCACTACACGGACCTGGAAGCAGCTGCCAGAAGGCAGCCCAGCCCTGGTACAGAGCTGGGGTGCACCTGAACTGGGGAAACGGGAGGGGCAATGGCACAACAAGGTTTCAGTGTCCACAGGTACTGTGTAGCAGTTTTACTAGCTCCACACACTCTCTTGAAATTCTCTTGTAGGAAGCAGTAGTCAACTACCATGGGGCAACCACAACTTCAGCACCACCTTCCACCCTGCATCTCCTCAAAGCAAGAATATCATCAGTCGTCTCTGACAGCTCTTCCATAGAAACAGTTAATCCAGACTCTGTACAGTCAGGCAGACACACACTCAGATGGTGCAACTCACCACGGGCTGCTCTTCCTTCGCCACACTCTCTTCATATTCAGCTTCTTGTTGCTACAACAGACGAGAACACAACATGTTACCACAGGTGAGCAGACAGCAAGCAAGGGTACAAGTCCCTTCCAGACCAGTTGAGTAACAAAGCCTGGAGGTTCATGTAACCCACTGCAAAACCAGGACAGATCAGCAGGGATCAACAACATCAGCACAAAATGTCCACTTGTTCCTGTCTCCGAGTGGAGAACTCAGAATCTTCCAGACAGAAAGAAATAAAGGTCTCTGCTCTGGATGCAGGAACAGCCTACAGACAGCTCACCAAGCTGAGAGACAGACAACAGCAATTCAGCACCAGACCTTCCACCAGCATGGCACATGCTGCAGAAGAAACAAGCCTAGAAAAGTCCTAGGGTTGTCCTGGCCTGCAAGAAGTAAGAGCCTCCTGTCTGGCATCACTCATATCAATCACAGAATTGTTCCAGTTGGAAAAGACATTTAAGATCATCAAGTCCAACCATTAACGTAACACAACCAAGTCCACCACTAAACCATGTCCTTAAGCACCTCATCTACACATCTCCAAGGATGGTGACTCCACCACTTGTCTAGGCAGCCTATTCTAAGGCTTGACAACCCTTTCAGTGGAGAAATTTGTTCTCATATCTAACCTAAACATTCCCCGATGCAACTTGAGGCCCTTTCCTCTTGTCCTATCTGTTGTTACTTGGGAGAAAAGGCTGATCCCCACCTTGTTACAACCTCCTTTCAGGTAGCTGTAGAGAGTGATAAAGTCTCCCCTGAGCCTCCTGTTCTCTAGCCTCAACAACCCCAGTTTCCTCATACAACTTGTTCTCCAGACCCTTCACCAGCTTCATTGCCCTCCTTTGGACATGCTGCAGCACTTCAATGTCCTCCTTGTAGTGAGGGGCCCAAAACTGAGCACAGTACTCAAAGTGCAGCCTCACCAGTGCTGAGTACAGGGAGATGATCACTTCCCCAGTCCTGCTGGCCACACTGTTTTTGATACAAGCCAAGATGCCACTGGTCTTCTCGGCCACCTGGCCACACTGCTGGCTCATGTTTAGGTGGCTTTTGACCAACACCCCCAGGTCCTTTTCCACCAGGCAGCTTTCCAGCCACTCATCCCCAAGCCTGTAGCATTGCATGGGCTTGTTGTGACGCAAATGCAGGACCCAGCACTTGGCCTCGTTGAACCTCACACCATTGGCCTCAGCCCATCAATCCAGCCTGTCCAGATCCCTCTGAAGAGCCTCCCTACACTTGAACTTATCTATGCTTCCACCCAGCTTTGTATAGCCTACAAATTTACTGAGGGTGCCTTTGATCCTCTCACCCAAATCACTGATAAAGATATCAAACAGAACTGGCCTCATACTGAGCCCTGGGGAACACCACAATAGGGCCCTGTCAGTGTGTAATTTACTACTGGTGTATTCGTGCCCACCTTGTTACTCAAAGCTGACCCAAAACACAGTGTCTCTGTCTCTCATTTTACCACCATCGTTCCTAGCACACCAACCAGTGGGCATCAAGATGCTGCCTATTGGTCACCTCAGCTCTGCAAACAGGCTGGGACACAAAAAAGAAAACAAACCCAAAATTTACCGCAGATTTCTCAGCCTCTCCTGCCTCTGTGTGTATACCTACATCTTTCCCCCACTGTGGTTTGAGAACTGCTTTAAGAAGGGGAGACAGAGCCAGACTCCTCTGAGGGATACAGTGAAAAGACATGGGTTACAAATTGTTCCAAGGAAATTTCCAATTGGATAGGTGAAACAAATCCATCCACCAACCCCAGCAATGGTTCAGCACTGGAACAGGTGCTCAGACAGCCTGGAAAATCTCCTTCCCTGGAAATGTTCAAGTATCAAGACAAGTGTCTGAGCAATCTGACAGAGCCTTAAGGTCACCCTGCAGTGAGCACGGGGCTGGATTAGAGATCCCAGAATTTCCTTCCTGTTGAAATCCTTCTGTGAGTCTGATTCCTCACCAGACATGGAATAGAAGGGGCTTCTTCCAGCACCCCTGAGCTCTGGGGCCTGCTACTGGTATTGAGTGGACCTCTCACAGTTGGAAAAGGGGAAAGCAAGACAAACTGCATTTAACAGGAGCCGTGCTCTCCACAACAGCCACCTGCTGCACTGCCTCCAAAGCACACATCAGCTGAAAGGAGCACAAGAGAGTAAGAGAAAGTCAAAGACCATAGCAAACAGACCCATAGAAAATCACAGCTATAGAGGAAAACCTGGGAAGCAGGAGAGAAGAAAAGCAGAGAGCAAGTTAGCCAGACATCCTCAATGCAGTAGAGACAATGAAGCACCTGCAATGACTGCAGTGCTGTCTCCAGACAGCTCCAGGCAACGGTCCCACCAACCCAAAGACGCCAGTCAGCCCTGGGCACCTCAACACCAGTCTGTGGTTAGTAATGAGCAAGTCTGCCAAGCGTGGAGATTCCTCCACAGTGAAAAATGAGCCATCTGCCCACTGGGGAGAAAGCAGGCCTGGAAGTTGTCTTTGGCAGGAAGGATGCCACTCTCACCATCTCCCTCTCCTCCTCCAAAACGAGCGGCTCCCTCGTCCTTTCCCAGAGGCGCAGGGACTTGTCGTGGGAGGCAGACACCACGTAGTCCCCACTGGGACTGAGTGCCAAACACCACACCTCCTGGTGATGCCCCTGCATGGGAGACAGAAGGGGTGAGAGGTGAACACCACCCAGCCCCCACCTGAGAGAAGTGCTGCTCATGCAGGCATAATGCTTACTTCAAACCACCCTACCTCCAGCGTCTGGATGTGTTCAAATTTATCTGCATCCCACTGCTTAATCTTGCTGTCCTTCCCAGCTGTGAAGAAGAGATGGGATTTCGCCACGAACTGCAGATACATCACACTGGAAGGAAAAAAGGCTGATGTTCACCTACTTGGGCAACACTCCACACCTCTCCCTGCTCTATGCTGGACAATAGGGTTATTGCTGGATCACAGCTTCTTCTTGGAGATAAGATAGCCCAACATCCAGATTTGACTGACCTGTCATCATGGGCAAAGAGAGAGCGGTGGCAGTCCCCAAAGTCCAAGCCCCAAATCTTCACATGTCTGTCAGCAGAGCCAGTTGCAATTAGAGTCCCATCCTACAGAACAGAGAGGAGGGTGTAGGTAGCTGGCTGGCAGCCCCATGAGGAATTGCTGCTGAGCCAGTCACTAAGCAGTGCTGAGCAGGCAGATACCTGGCTGCTGAAGCATGCCCTCCTGATCCCTCCACCTCCTCTCCCCAGGGTAGCCCACACTTGTGGTACCAGCACAGCCCACTGACAGCACCCTGTTTCTTTTCTGACCCTCTACAGGCATTTGAGACCACCACCTCAGCAGCTGCTCTCTGCTCCCACTAACGAGTTCAGGCTCCTCTAACCCAGAGTCAGCAGACAGCAGGCTGTACCTCAAGATGAGTGCAGGGAGCCACCACAGTATTTTGGTTTCCACTTGCTCACAAAATACCCTGGTCAGTTCTGCCATGACTACTACTCCAAGACCTCTCCCCCAGCAAACACAGGACTGCAGGCTAAGGAGGGGCTTGCTGTGTCCTGTCAGGAACTGCAAAGTCAGGAGCAAGAAGGTGACAAGAAAGCATTATCCTAGAGGCCTTGCTGTCAGCAGAGATACTCGGTGACCCATAACAACACACAGCTCTAATGATACTTACATAGGAGATGTCCATACACAGCACTGGCAGCTTGTGTCCATACAGAGAGAGGAAAAACTGAAGCAGAAGAAAGGTGTCTTAGTTAGACATGCTAGGTAGAGATGTGTGAAAATCTCAAGCTCCAGGCTAGTTCTGCTCTGCCTCAGGAGCTCTGTCTTTCTAGCACTGCACCACTTTCATTCTTGTCCTGAACACTGTTAGCATTAGAGCCATGATGGCAGAACTGGGAGAAGGGTGGAGGTACCCAAGAGCAAACTGGGCTAACTCTGGTGTTAATCACTCCTGCCCGTGGAGTTTCTCTGCCATGTGGCACATCCACCAGTGTAAGGGTGGGCCCTTACAGTGCCTCACAGCTCTGAAGTACTACCACACCCGCAGGGTTTAGAGTGAACCTTCCCACCTGCAGATTCACAGCATTTTCCAGATGGAAAATGGATCTTCTCCCCAGTGGGCCAGCCATAGTTCTGCCAGGTTTGCTAGCAAACAGGCACCTGAAGTGGGACGCATGGTCTCTCCGATTCTTACTAGTATCCCACAATAAACAGACACTTTTCCTACAGATTCCTGATCTTTCAGGCTCCAATTACATCCCTCCCTGCACAGCCTCACAGCCCATTCTGTCATGTACCTTGAGCGTGTCAACGTAGAAAACCTTCACGGTGCAATCCAGCAGGGAGACAGCCAGCAGCTTCTGGTTGGGGCTGTACCGCACGCAGAGAACATCTTCCTCCAGCTCCAAAACACGCACGTGTTTCAGGGAAAGCCTGCCAACAAGAAGAGGAAAAAAGCAATTGTTATCCCAAAGAAACAAGCTGGGAAAAGGTATGGCTACCACCCCCACACAGCATCCTGGGAAAGCACGTTAGTTCTAACAGGCAGCATCTCATTCCTCGTTACAGCTTGAACAAGACAGGACACTTCCCACAGTGCAGAGCAAAGGCCAAACCATCCATCAGTGACAGTGGATGCTGCAGATGAATGCAGTCCAGAAAGGTTTCGTTCCTCACCTTTTCTGAACACTGCTCTCATCCTTCACAAGCTCAAACTCCCAGAACTTGACACACTTATCGGCACCTCCTGTCACAAAGCCACGCTGCAAGGGAAAAGAAAACACTAAATACTGTGAAACTACAGAATCACAGAATGGTGGGGGTTGGAAGGGACCTCTGGAGATCATCTAGTCCAACCCCCCTGACAAAGCAGGTTCCCCAAGAATCTGTCCAGGCAGGTTTTGAAGGTCTCCAGAGAAGCAGACGCCACAACCTCTCTGGGCAGCCTGTTCCACTGCTCCATCACCCTCACAGTAAGGAAGTTTTTCTCTCCAAAACCAGTTTTGCTATGACCCAGAGGAATTCTACAGCACAGGAATTGTCAACACACAAGGAGTTTTTTAAATGCCCCACATTCCTACAGTATTAATGATTAAGTGGCCACCACTAGGAACACTTGATCTGGTTGGAGCATGCATTACCCACTGGCTGAGCAACAACAACTTCAAAAGTTCAGGCAGGGAGGTCTAAGACAAAGACTCCAAACGTAAATCAAGACATGGAGTGAAACTCCAGGACCAAAAGCAATCACCTCAGCTGTAGATAAAGACATGCTCAGGTTGCATGGGCAAGTTGACACTGTTACTGGATCACACACACCACTACCCCAATCAGCACAGCCTTCAAAAGGAAGAACAGTTGATTATCCCTTTTACATTAAGAACAAGGGTAAAACTGTCCCCATATGTTTTAAACTGGAGGGTGAATGAGTCTCATTACTTGCTATGGTTTTAGATTCCACCAAAAATCACTCCTGCTTCTAGTGCAACATGAAAGCTGCAGTTGATAATAGTAACAGTGTTGCTCATGCAAGGCACCTCTTGGTCTTGTGTTACATTTTCATTACAAAAGTAGGATAATACAGTTCAATAAAGCACATACCCCATGAATTACAGGCCAGCTAAGAGGTTTCAAAGCTTACTATTAAATAAGAAATACCTAATAACTTGACACTGTGGTGCTTACAGATTTTATGGATTACTAGAAAAATAACCAAATTAAATATATCTATATAATATCAGAGCTATTCAATCTATCTGGAAATGAGTGCCCAAACAGAACCACAACATTCATTTCATGTTAGGAAGCAAGGATCTATGGCCCACGTGTATGCCTTCCATGAAGCACTGCCCCAAAAGTGTGGCTTTGAGGGACACAGTGGGTTATTACCTGAATCTCCAGGCAAAGCTATCACCGAAAGAGCTAATTAAGTCCTTGGATAGATGCAAAAGGCACTGGTGAATTTGGCACTGTTATAATCCACATGGTGCACCCAGATCCTGGGCCACCAGCAAAAAAGACTACAGTAACTTAAACAGTACCAGAAGAATAAAAAAACGCATCCTGCAGAAACAGAAGTTCATCCTAACAGCCATCAGATGGACAGGGAAGGTGATCTGGTCACTCAAGAAGAGTCCAACACAAAGAAAAAGCACCACTGTGTCAATGGGATCTTTAATCCAGCAGACAAGCAGCAAATTTAACAAGAGGAATAATCAGCTACTGCAGCAGGTTACAAGGGGCTGAAGCTCTCCACAGGGGGAACACTTCCATGTTGTCTGTATGGCTGCACACATGGGCTCCACCTGGGAAGTCTGAGTGTTCTCAATCACGCAGAAGCCAGATGAGGTGATGAGGATGGGCTCACTCAGCCCAAAGACTCATTGCCATGTACCACATTAACTACAGAAACTTCATTAAGCTGTACATGTATCCATAGTTAAAAGTTCTTAGGCACTACCAGCTGCATCCTCCACCTCCCAGGATGAGGGGTTCGTGTGCTCTCATCAGCAGTAAAAAACACAGCACCACAGGAAGGAGCTACATGAAAAAGATATGCACAGATGATACTGAGAAGGGTGGCTGAGTTACCTGGTCTGGTGAAAGAGCAATGGACCACACTGCCCCATCGTGAGCATCAAGTGTCTCCATCAGACTCCCAGAAGCCAGATCATACAGCTGTAGCTTCCCTGTCTGGAAACAAAGACAAACCACAGAGTACAGATCAGCCCCTCTGCCTTCAGGACGCAGAACAGCTCCCAGAAAAGCACCCCTGCCACCTATCTCCCAAAGAGCCAGCTTCATTAGATGGCTGCTACACGCAGATGGACAAACTCCATCTCTCCACTACAGACTTCCCAAAGCTCTCCCCAGCTGTCCAGTTCAAGCCACAAGAGGTACATGAAGAGCCTGGGAACAGATCAGAACCTGACCGTTGAGAGGCTTTTACACCTAGAAGAGAGTGCTCCAGAGGAGGAGGAGCGCTCAGCTGCCGTTTCAGAGCCCACCTGCAGGTGTGGGCAGGGGGTGCAGAGGGGAGTGCTCACCTTGGTGCCGAGGAGGACCTGCCGGTCCCCGGGGACGAAGAGGGAGCAGAGCGCGTACTCGCAGTCCATCGTGCGGATGCACTGCAGGGTGGCCCTGGGGACAAAGGCAGAGCCCAGCACCTCTTGTCACACACAGAACCTGGCCCACTAAGCGAGGCACGCTCCAGAGCGGCCTCTGCCCACCGGGGACAGAAGATATGCCACCACCACCCTATCACTCAAATGCTAGCCAACATTACTGCTAAGAACATTTGTCGTAAAAATGTGCCACCACACAGTCTACCATCATGAACCATTGCTGTTATGAGCGAGGACAGACCTCCTGTTCTCCAGCAGCAACTCCTGTCGTTCAGGAGAGGAGGGAGGAGTGTAAGATAGCACGCTCGAAGGAAACAAAGCCTGACATCAGTACCACTCAGGAGACATTAGGACAACACTCAGACCAGCAGCCTACTCAGTCTAATACCAGATCCTTCAGGTAAGATGTCAATAAACCCAAATGCTCACTAAGCATAGTAGCTCTTATTAAAAAGGAAAAAAAGCCAATAAATTAGTCTGTACCAGACTGCTACATATGACCTTTGGGTTTAGAAATTTATCTTTCCAGACCTGCCACTAAACTCAGCATCAGTGCCGCTCTACAGCATCAAACTCCAAGAGTTAATCATGCAGTTTTAGGGCTACAGCTTCTCAATTTCCCTAATAAGGGAAGAAGGCCAATAGTTTTCTGTTTACATCCTTCCCTTCCTTCACTATTTTGTTTCTTCATTGTCCCCTCTTCCTTATCACTGCCTCTCTGAACGGAGCATCCCTGAGTTCTGGGAGACTGACGCACAGAGGGGACTGGCACAAGTGGACTGTGTACCTGTTCCAGATCTTTACAGACTCTGCTGCTGCAGAGAGAATGGCAATGTTGTCAGAGCTGAAGGCCAGCGTCCTGACATCGCTGCGGTGGCCTCCAGTGGTTATCCTGGACACACGGGCAGCCTGTGGCACTTGTGCAGACAGGTTCAGGCTGTACGACTCAACGATGTTGTTCTGGAGAAGCAGCACAATCTTCAGCTCTCCTTTTGGAGAGAGAATCAAGTCAAATGACCTGTTTGATTAGACAAAATCAGAGCTGTAAACAAGGGCAGCAAGACAAAATGTAGGAAGGATCAAACACCAAGAACAACTGAGAAAGAGGAATGCAGACAGAATGCATGATCAGTGCTGGGACCAGTCCTGTTT